AAAGTTTCAATATCCTACCTGAACATTAGCTTGCTCTTCTCCATCAAACTTGTGTCATACACCAAGCTTATACCAACACAGATACATAAAACCTCACCTTAATCAACGCTGTGACATAGTATATCTCCTACCTGAATATTAGCTTGCTCTCCTCCATCAAACTTGTGGTATAAACCATGCATATATCAACACAGTTATATAGAACCTCGCCTTAATCAACGATGTGGCGTACTATATCTCCTACCTGAACATTAGCTTGCTCCCCTCCATCAAACTTGTGGCATACACCAAGCTTATACCAACATAGTTACATATAACCTCACCGTAATCAACGCTGTGACATAGTATATCTCCTACCTGAACATTAGCTTGCTCTCCTCTATCAAACTTGTGGCATACACCAAGCTTATACCAACATAGTTACATATAACCTCACCTTAATCAACGCTGTGACATAGTATATCTCCTACCTGAACATTAGCTTGCTCTCCTCCATCAAACTTGTGGCATACACCAAGCTTATACCAACATAGTTACATATAACCTCACCTTAATCAACGCTGTGACATAGTATATCTCCTACCTGAACATTAGCTTGCTCCCCTCCATCAAACTTGTGGCATACACCAAGCTTATACCAACATAGTTACATATAACCTCACCTTAATCAACGCTGTGACATAGTATATCTCCTACCTGAACATTAGCTTGCTCCCCTCCATCAAACTTGTGGCATACACCAAGCTTATACCAACATAGTTACATATAACCTCACCTTAATCAACGCTGTGATGTAGTATATCTCCTACCTGAACATTAGCTTGCTCCCCTCCATCAAACTTGTGGCATACACCAAGCTTATACCAACATAGTTACATATAACCTCACCTTAATCAACGCTGTGACATAGTATATCTCCTACCTGAACATTAGCTTGCTCTCCTCCATCAAACTTGTGGCATACACCAAGCTTATACCAACATAGTTACATATAACCTTACCTTAATCAACGCTGTGACGTAGTATATCTCCTACCTGAACATTAGCTTGCTCTCCTCTATCAAACTTGTGGCATACACCAAGCTTATACCAACATAGTTACATATAACCTCACCTTAATCAACGCTGTGACGTAGTATATCTCCTACCTGAACATTAGCTTGCTCTCCTCCATCAAACTTGTGGCATACACCAAGCTTATACCAACATAGTTACATATAACCTCACCTTTATCAACGCTGTGACGTAGTATATCTCCTACCTGAACATTAGCTTGCTCTCCTCTATCAAACTTGTGGCATACACCAAGCTTATACCAACACAGTTACATATAACCTTACCTTAATCAACGCTGTGACGTAGTATATCTCCTACCTGAACATTAGCTTGCTCTCCTCTATCAAACTTGTGGCATACACCAAGCTTATACCAACATAGTTACATATAACCTTACCTTAATCAACGCTGTGACGTAGTATATCTCCTACCTGAACATTAGCTTGCTCTCCTCCATCAAACTTGTGGCATACACCAAGCTTATACCAACATAGTTACATATAACCTCACCTTAATCAACGCTGTGACGTAGTATATCTCCTACCTGAACATTAGCTTGCTCTCCTCCATCAAACTTGTGGCATACACCAAGCTTATACCAACATAGTTACATATAACCTCACCTTAATCAACGCTGTGACATAGTATATCTCCTACCTGAACATTAGCTTGCTCTCCTCCATCAAACTTGTGGCATACACCAAGCTTATACCAACATAGTTACATATAACCTCACCTTAATCAACGCTGTGACATAGTGTATCTCCTACCTGAACATTAGCTTGCTCTCCTCTATCAAACTTGTGGCATACACCAAGCTTATACCAACAAAGTTACATATAACCTCACCTTAATCAACGCTGTGACATAGTATATCTCCTACCTGAACATTAGCTTGCTCCCCTCCATCAAACTTGTGTCATACACCAAGCTTATACCAACATAGTTACATATAACCTCACCTTAATCAACGCTGTGACATAGTATATCTCCTACCTGAACATTAGCTTGCTCTCCTCCATCAAACTTGTGGCATACACCAAGCTTATACCAACACAGTTACATATAACCTTACCTTAATCAACGCTGTGACGTAGTATATCTCCTACCTGAACTTTAGCTTGCTCTCCTCTATCAAACTTGTGGCATACACCAAGCTTATACCAACATAGTTACATATAACCTCACCTTAATCAACGCTGTGACATAGTATATCTCCTACCTGAACATTAGCTTGCTCCCCTCCATCAAACTTGTGGCATACACCAAGCTTATACCAACACAGTTACATATAACCTCGCCTTAATCAACGCTGTGACATAGTATATCTCCTACCTGAACATTAGCTTGCTCTCCTCCATCAAACTTTTGGCATACACCAAGCTTATACCAACATAGTTACATATAACCTCACCTTAATCAACGCTGTGACATAGTATATCTCCTTCCTGAACATTAGCTTGCTCTCCTCCATCAAATTTGTGGCATACACCAAGTTTGTACCAACACAGTTAAATATAAACTCACCTTAATCAACGCTGTGACGTAGTATATCTCCTACCTGAACATTAGCTTGCTCTCCTCTATCAAACTTGTGGCATACACCAAGCTTATACCAACATAGTTACATATAACCTTACCTTAATCAACGCTGTGACGTAGTATATCTCCTACCTGAACATTAGCTTGCTCTCCTCCATCAAACTTGTGGCATACACCAAGCTTATACCAACATAGTTACATATAACCTCACCTTAATCAACGCTGTGACGTAGTATATCTCCTACCTGAACATTAGCTTGCTCTCCTCCATCAAACTTGTGGCATACACCAAGCTTATACCAACATAGTTACATATAACCTCACCTTAATCAACGCTGTGACATAGTATATCTCCTTCCTGAACATTAGCTTGCTCTCCTCCATCAAACTTGTGTCATACACCAAGCTTATACCAACACAGTTACATATAACCTCGCCTTAATCAACGCTGTGACATAGTATATCTCCTACCTGAACATTAGCTTGCTCCCCTCCATCAAACTTGTGGCATACACCAAGCTTATACCAACACAGTTACATATAACCTCGCCTTAATCAACGCTGTGACATAGTATATCTCCTACCTGAACATTAGCTTGCTCTCCTCCATCAAACGTTTGGCATACACCAAGCTTATACCAACATAGTTACATATAACCTCACCTTAATCAACGCTGTGACATAGTATATCTCCTACCTGAACATTAGCTTGCTCTTCTCTATCAAACTTGTGGCATACATCAAGCTTATACCAACATAGTTACATAGAACCTCACCTTAATCAACGCTGTGACATAGTATATCTCCTACCTGAACATTAGCTTGCTCCCCTCCATCAAACTTGTGGCATACACCAAGCTTATACCAACACAGTTACATATAACCTCGCCTTAATCAACGCTGTGACATAGTATATCTCCTACCTGAACATTAGCTTGCTCCCCTCCATCAAACTTGTGGCATACACCAAGCTTATACCAACATAGTTACATATAACCTCACCTTAATCAACGCTGTGACGTAGTATATCTCCTACCTGAACATTAGCTTGCTCTCCTCCATCAAACTTGTGGCATACACCAAGCTTATACCAACATAGTTACATATAACCTCACCTTAATCAACGCTGTGACATAGTATATCTCCTACCTGAACATTAGCTTGCTCTCCTCCATCAAATTTGTGGCATACACCAAGTTTATACCAACACAGTTACATATAACCTCACCTTAATCAACGCTGTGACGTAGTACATCTCCTACCTGAACATTAGCTTGCTCTCCTCCATCAAACTTGTGGCATACACCAAGCTTATACCAACACAGTTACATATAACCTCACCTTAATCAATGCTGTGACGTAGTATATCTCTTAACGATTAAAGTATTATGTACTTCCCCAAAAAAACTTTAGATTTTTACTATATTGTCTTCGTTAACAGAACCACTTTTATCTTTTCATAAGCATTAAAAATGGAAACAAAATAAAATTTGCTATAGTGTTATGTGCATTAACATTGTTTGTTTTCCAGCCCTCCAAACTCCAATCATAGAATTTGTAGGATAATAATAATAACTGCGTCTGTCATAAATTTCTATACTCTGTATTATATCTCATATATGTATTGAATGAGATTAAGGTTTACTTAACTTTCATCCTTACCGGTACTAAAATTCCAACAAAAGTATATCTTAAATATTTTAAATTCCTGCAATGTATTTTTACGTTTTCTCTCATATTTTCTCTACACTTATTGTTTATAAGAGCACCATCTCTTCAATGAACTTGATTTCACAACAAACTTCCTCCATGAAAATGCTATTGTGACTAGTTTGTATTCTCTTAGAGGTGGTTTGGGAGCTCGAGCCTAGCAAGTACGCGCCCAGTGTTAGGCGTGCCTAACTACTGAAGAGCCCGGATCAAAAACCGGGCTTGGGAGCTCGCACCTATGTAGAAATGGTCGTAGAGCAAGTATGACCAGGCCTTAGTCGAACGAATGAGGGCTTACATATTTTGAAAAATGTCTATTGAAGTCAAATATGATACATATTAAATCCATGTTGAAGTCCCAACTCAACAACAGACTTGTCATTTTTTATCAATACTGTTCGACGAGTAAAACAAATGGTGACAAACAGCCGATGCGAGCTGATTACTAAAATAATTGTAGTGATACGAGTGGATGAAAAGGGGTGTGTGGGGGAAGCGGATGATCTATTGTCATCGCCAATCAATACGACTTATATTTAATGGCAGCTCTACTAATTGTGCTATGTGCTATGTGTTGTGCTATAACTCAGTTATCAGCATCGTGCATGTGTCTGTGTGGATTGGGGGAGTGTGCGTGCGAGAGTGCGCGCTGAACGCTGAATCAGCCGCTGCATCAGTCAGTCCGCGGTCAACACCAGTCGAGTGTTCAGCGCTCCTATATCAGGTATAGCACGTGTCGCACGCGCTGAGGAGACGCGCACGAGATTCATAACACTCAGCATCAAACACCCGGTAAGTTTGTTTTAATCTTCATCAATCCTTAAAAAAAGTAATATTTAGTAATGTATCCCTTCAAGAAAACCGATACCTTTATTAGTTATGTTTAAATTATTTTATTTTATTTAACCTCGAATTGTTACATGTTTGTTAAAAATTATGCCTACACATGTGAATAAAGTCTAAGTGTTAACCAGTTGTAGGACATTCTTTTACAAGTATTAAAGTGATTTGTCCAAAGTGGTTTTTACAACATCGGAAATCGAATGAAGAGATTGTAAGAACGTAATGACGATAAACAAATGATAGAAGTAAGCAACTTAATATTTGTACTTGTTAATTTGTTTGATTTATAATTTAATTTCAATTTTTTTAGAACCTACTAAGAGTGGCCGAGCGAAAAAGTTTATTGAATTGGGATAAAATATTTTCCAAAAACTTGGCAAAGCTCTTATAGTACATAAATGTTTAACAGATAATGGAAAATAAATATGTAAATTTGGTACAGAGCTGCAACCGATTAAAAGGAAATTATTCTATTTCCTTCTTATTTGTAATATTAATTACGTTTTTATTTGGTGAACTTTTGTACCTTCTGTGAGTAGACCAGTGTTGAGAGTAGGGAATATAACTTTAATTTTGAAAATAAGCTCACGATATAATATATGTAGAATCCCTTTTACTCCCAGCAAAACATGCTGTGCACTGGGAGTATAGGAGTTCTTAGTTACCAACGTTTTGATAAATAACCAAAAAGTTGTACTTACATAGGTATGAATATTTCTAAAATCATTTGAATTATTTATAATAAAAATATACTGAGCTAATCATTAAAGAATGATTAAGCTAAATTATCAATATACAGGAAAATTCTATGACATGTAAAGGTAATAATTATATAAGTACACATGGTATTTTAGGTTACTATTTTTGGGGATGAAGTATGAAAATATAGTGTACTTGTTATTGATGTAAAACAGTTGAGGTACTAAACAAATACCCCCGGCACAGCAAACCTGCAGACTAAGCGAATTTCCATTTGCCTGAATTGATTTTAAATTAAATATATTTAAATAACATTAGATTTAACGAGTACCTAGGTTTGCTGCTACAGGGAGGCTAATAAAGTGTGATTTTTAGTAAAATATTAGTAGCTTAGTATAATATAAATAAATTTGCCAAGTTTGATAAAAATATTTTCATAAACAAGCAAACTACAACATTTTACAATATTCTCCTTAAAAATAACACGGGAATTTTAAATTTGCAATTTTTTGAATTTTCTACGTAAGCGATAACAGTACAAAAGCTCTTTGGTATACTAAATTATTTGTTTTTAAGCTCTTAAAAATGGCCTAGAGTGAAATTGGGACATTTTGTTTTGAGGGTCAAAAATGAGAAATATCTATTTTACCCCCATAAAACCCTTCGTAAATCCCTTGTCCCATGGTCCGATCATGCTGATTCGCAAACTCATTCAAGTTTTTCTCGCCTTACACCTTCAAACCAAATTGCATCAAAATCGGACAAAAATAATTTAAGTTATCACGTTTACGGACGTATATATAAAAATTTGATCGAATATTGTTTTTGGCCTCTAGGGAGAACAAAAATAAAAAGTATATTGGTCCCGGCTACAGGTCTTACCGTGCCACCTACGGTAATAGCCACTTCCCTATAGGGAAATTCGCTAAAACTATTTCCAAGAAAGTGCCGGCGTATTAATAAATTAAAATTCGCTGAATAATTCTCGAGCACTTTGCAATCTCATTATACTAAAAGAAATGCCAGATATGACTTGACGATTTAATAACTTATAACGAAATCTAAAGTCTTAGGAATATCTATCTAAATCAGTGTACTATAACATATTTTCTTAACGATGTTTAATTTGTTGTTTAAAGTTTATGTATTAAATTGGTTTGGACTACCTACTAATTTGAAGTAAAATTGATTGCTACTGAAAATGTGGTTGTAGAGAACCAGAGATATAATCTTTTCTCTTAATTCAACCCATTTAGATTATTATAAAAAACAATAGCACAAGGCCAAACTTGTAAATACTTGTCAGGAAAATTATATGAAACGTAAATTATAATGAAATAGAAAAATATATTTTATATTTTTAGAGAAAATTCATTCGTCATTCATCCTAAAAAATGTGTTCAAGAACGAAAATAAGAACAGTACTGAAATTATGTAAACTACCTAGAGAAACATAAATACCTGCATTATAAATGACACTATTATGTTTTAAATTAGAAATTCAGGTAATTAAGGCAAGCTGAGCCAAACCTTTCAAATTGTTTTACGCAACATTGCCTATGTAAAGGCCTACTTAAAACGCTGTTGTCGTCAGTTTCTGAATCTCACCAAGTTCTAAGAAATTATCTGATGAAATAGCATTTTGTATAACAAAATACTGGTTCCTTTCTCAGACATGTTATCTTCGGTAGCAATGTTTATTAGTTTTACGTACAAGTTATCAATTTCAAAACTCTTTTAAGACGCATTACATAATATATAGCCTTAATATGCAGGTTCTAATATGCATCGTAAAAATAATTTATGTTTGTGTAAAGATTGGTTCGAAGCAATAATGAAACAAATCTAGACAAAGGTTGACTACATTGCTAAAGTGTTATAAAAAATAATGTTTGGAATATTAAAATCAAGATCAATAAATAAATGCGACCAAAGAATTACATTTAGTTTTAAGAGTAACACCAGATCGAAGCGGCATTGGCTACAGAAATATTGCGCTGGTAAACGATATTATGAACATGAGGCATACATACGATTTGCCGAAAAAATGAAATGACACGACGAGTATCTAAATTCAATATTACAAAGAATATTATAACTAGTATCTAGAATTGGCATTTGCATTTAAAAAATAAACATACAAGATTAAATAAATGTTTTTGTTTTTACTTTGAATATTCTAAACATCCTCTGTTATGTTGAATGTCGCAACAGTTTTGAACAGCAGTACAAAAGTGCTTTAGTATCTAAAGATTGTCTCAAGTATTGTTCTTCCTTTATTGGTTTTCCTATTGCCAAGGAGTGTTTTATACTTATTTATGGAAAGCGACGGATTACAATAAACCTACTTATACATAAAATGTATATACATAATCTCGTTTTAAAAACCGTATTGGAGTAGAATCATCGTTGTTCATGGAAAAAAAAAATTATGGTTACAGAAATTCACGAAAAAATTATATCCTTTCACTGTTCCAGAATTTATCGAATTTTAGGTGCATCGTTGAAAAGTGCATGATCAAATGACACTTAAATCATTCTTAGTATTAATTACATTGCCTAATGAAAATGTAGGCATGCTGCTTTCAGGAAAAAAATTGTGGTTTTGATTTCAAAAATTTACAATATAACAGAGAATTTCTAAAAAAAAAAAAAAAAAAATACTTGAACATAATAATTGCATAAACAATGATTATATAACGTATTGCGTATAGCATTTTATCAATATTTCGGAAATTAATAAGTAGACAAAAATGTGATGTCTTTTATGTAAGTGGTGCCAAGATATGTTTTAAGTTGAAGTTTAATTGTGACAAATATTTACAAATCGGTTTTGTGTCAACGACGAAATAAAAGGAGGAATAGTATAAATTCGAGTCCAAATGTCGCATCTAACATTTATGTATCAGTACAATTGATTATTTTTCTTTAACCTCTCTTTGTTCCGTATTCATACGTTTAAAGTACAGACGTCTGAGCCCCTTGTGAAAGGAAGAATCTAAAGAGAGGTCACCAACCTTTAAGTACCCCTGCCGCAGCAAACCTACAGACTTAGCGAATTCCCATTTGCCTGATTGGATTTACACTAAAATGTCTCCTTAAAAATATCACATTTATTCCCTATTTAATTATAATTAGTTTACGAGTATTTAGGTTTTGCTGCAACAGGGAGGGCAAAAAAGTGTTTTTTATTTTAAAATTGTAATACTGTAGTTTTTACTAAACTACAGTATTAAATTTTTAAAGTGAATGTATTTTCCAAAATTGATCAAAATATGTTTATAAACAAGCAAACTACAACAGTTGACTTATTCTCCATAAGAATAATAATACACGGGAATTCTAAATTTAAAATTTTTTTGAATTTTCTCCGTAACAATTAGGCGTATAATAACGCTTCAATATACTAAATTATTTGTTTTGTTTTTAGTTCTACCAAATGGTTTGGAAGATATTGTAATACACACACACACACACACACATATATATATATGGTGTTTTTGGCCTCTAGGGGCTTCAAAACGAAAAAGTTAATTGGTCCCGGATCCAGGTCTTACCACAGTACTACGGTAATAGCTTATTCCCTGTATGAGAAATTCGCTGAAAAGAGAATTTTTCATAAAATTGTGACCAAACAATAAAAAAAAACGTTTAGGCTAAGTTGGCACGTTAACTCATACATTCATTTGTTTAGTTAGTTTTCATGTTTGATCTAAAACGTGATTATCTATTCATGAATATAAGTTTTAAGTGTGAATATATACTATCAAATAAAACTTTACTGCCAGCCATTTCTCTAAATATGTATTTTGTAGTATTTTATATAATTTGTGTTGTTATATATATAGGGTTGTTGAGAAGCGAAAGATATTTGTTGTTTATTGAACAAATTTATTGGAGTCTGAAAAACTGAATAGTTTCAACGAGAAACGACGGTAATTTTATTCTACTTTAAATGAATTAAGCAACTCGCTCAACACAGTTATAATTGCGTAATGGCTAGCCATGTCCACAAATAAACAGAAATAAACACAAACGGATGGTCATTAACATTCTTGAATATACATTACTATTTTATAGTGGGAGTAGTTGATGTATGGGGTTGGTCAAATTGTCGCATCCGTTGATTCTGCAGCATCGCATCAATATATGGTTTGTCGCATGAAAATTAGCATGTCCCTAAATCGGAACTATTAATTTAACATCGTAATTAGACGTAATTTCAGTCTGATTTTTATTTATCACTACAG